TAGGGATCAACAAGGTATAGGGAGCTGGCAAACAGCAGTCCAGAGTCAGCAGCTAAAATGAAGCTTTACTCAGTTATTATCTGCTTTTTCTGTACATGATCTGAGATCCCAAATGCAGATAACATAGCATGATATTTGTTAGTACATAAAATAAAAGCATATAGAAAGGAAACAGAAGCAAAGAGAAGACAACAACTGCCATTTGGGTATGCAATCAATCCCCATGCTCATCAACTCCTGCTTATCAGTTTCAGGAAGGATAAACCCCAATATCAGGCACCTACTTGTCTCAAGTGGATGGGATAATTAGTGTAAAATGTCAGGGTCAAGGACCTTCCAAAAGGAACACACACTTGATTATCACACCACAGCGAAACTCCCTGGCCACTGGGTCAGGCCACTACAAAAATAACAGCATCCACCAGAAGAACTTGTAAAAACAAGCATAAAGTCACCATTAAGCTACTGTTCAAGAAATCTTTTTAAAAGGAAGAGATGAAACAAGGAGACTTATAAAGAAGTACATTTATTTTTCTTTACAGCAAATACCATAAATAGAGCTGAAACAATTTTCACTGTGTGCAAAATACAGAATTTCCATGTGAAAATTTAAATACAGCATTAAAAACTATTTAATAAAAATATTCCATTAAGATTATAAAGTAAAGCGAAGACAGAAGACTTAGGAAGAGAAGGACAGAATCCTCACTGGCCAGGAAGAGCTAGGAAGACTCTGTAACAGAGGGCAAAAAAAAAGAAAAAAAAGCATAGCAATGGAACGTGGTTTGAAATGGCAGACCTTTATGTCATGACCTTCATCTCAAAGCATGCTGACCTTAGCAACAGAACACCATAGTCCTGCAATTCATAGGAAGGTGTCTCCTAACCATTTTCCAGATGGTTAGAATATAGAGAGGTTTTGTATGGGCACAGCAAAGGAACTTTGAAAGCCATCAAGACAATTTAGCATGCCCACACAAATCAATACTATTGTTTAGTCATGCAAACATACAGGTCAGCAAGATAAGGACCCTTCAGTTCTTCTTCATTCCTGATCGTGTGTGTGAAATGGGACAAGTAGCACAGCACATCAGCCCCCCACTCTGCAAGCTGCTGCTTAGATCTATTTCCAGTCCCCATTCCCATTGACGGCCATCCTCAGCAAGTAAAGCTGTGTCATAACCATATCAACCTAAGCTCAGGGCACTTGCTGGTCAGGCTGAGCCCTCGTTTCTTCTTTGGATTCACTTCCCCTTTTAGATTATCGTGTGATTATATAGACTGGAACTTACATGAAAAAATACATACAAAGTAATTTGTCCAATTTGTCATGCAGCAAGACAAATCCATTAATCAGAGGGCAAATAATGGGGCCTCGTGAGAGCTGGTATTAGTTAACAAAACAGCCCAAACCAAAACACTCTGGTTATAAAAATTTGGCATTTAGACATTAAGGACTGAAAAACAGAACACATCTATTTCTGTTAGGCCTGCCTAGTATGTTACTTGGGGTGGAAGATTGGAATTTGTGTAGCTCTGGCTATTTTTTCCAACAGAATTCATTTGTAAAATAATTTTCCTCTATGAAAGCAAAGAAGCACTTAAAAAGAGTGCTCAAATGTTGGTTGCTCACTGAATATTTGATCTCAGTGAAAATTTGCTCATTGAATATGCGAGTGCAATAGAAATAGGTGTTCATCCAGGAGAATCACCTGGCTTTTATTGTCACCTCATTATAAAATTACCTTGAAAGAAATAAGAAATAGTTCTTTCAAGAATCAATTTATTTATACGCCTAACTTACCTGGAAGACACAAGGAAAGTAAGGGTACATGCACAGACACAGAAGGAAAAACATTCTCTACAGAGAGAGCAGACATAACCTTTTACAGAACTATGAACTCAGCAACAGGTTAAATGATCATGCCAAAGCTCACATCCATTAATATACCAGACACAGTTTGCTCCAAAATGGTATTAAAAAATAAAACAAAACACAAAATCAATGCAGTGAAATGCTGTCAAACAACAGTGTTAGTCACACAGTTTTGGAACTGGCAAGCAGAAAAATCACCTGATAGCATAAAGGCTTCAGCCAGTGAGCGGGTGCAACACCGGAATGATGAATTGGACTAAAAGTAATGAGGGACATTGACAAAGAGAGCACAGAAAAAAAAACAAAAACACAGAACTTAGCTTGGTTATATAGAAGAGCATCAGTAAGTTCACAAAGAAGAATTGGCCAAAATGAAACTGCCTTTCTTTCATTAAATCATAAACAAGGACAAATAAGTATTAATCATATTATCAGAGTATTAAGATAAAGAGTTTAAAAAAAGCCAAACAACTAGCAATTTGATTATCAGATTGATACCAATAAACAACCTTCCCAACAACCTCCAGAACCCCAGTGGAATAGGTGGTATAATTAGGATCCTCCAGGAAGATGGTTTTTAATTTGTATCTTTCCCTCTCCCTCCCCCCCCCACCGCCCCCCAAGTCTTTTGTGAGAATTTAGGGATTTTTCTCCCTATTATATAAACCTATATAGCATCATTACCATCTTTTTTGTAAAAAGAAAATGCTTTCTCCTAGTAAGATTCATTTCATTCGAACTCATAGGTTAACACAGATTTCCAAGTTTCTTACTGTGTCAGCATTTTCTGTAAGTTTACCATTACACTCTGCTGAAAAGCAGAACATTTTCTTGTAGTGAATAGCAAAAGAAAACCTCAGGAAAAATGTATTCTGCAAGACCATGCTGTTGACAAACTGAAATTAAAATTGAGACTGAGTCTAACTTCAGAACTTCACCATTTAGCAGTTTGCTGTGTTGTAGGGGTAACATGGTAAATTATACAGATTTTTTTTCCATTTAGAGTGAAACAACAACTGGCATTAGTAAATAATTTTAAAAGCGTAGACTGTTCTAAAGTAGATTTAAATGCTATGAAAGAGATAATCACAGCTCACCATGTTGGTATAATGGCCAATGTGTCCAGTCAGTGTTCTAGCAAAGTTTTGCTAAATGCACATTTGAGCATTAATGGCAATTTATTTCAACCAAATGCTACCTTGCACCTAAACAATTCTTTCAAGCTTTTTTTTTTTTCCCCCCAAGTTCTATGCATACTCTTCACAATTTCTCCCCAGTATATATAAGCACTATAAAATGGGAAAAGCTTTATCCCTGTAGTTGAGAAATTACACCAAAATATCTAGAGGAAAAACCCAGTTTGCCATTTATTTTAAACAGAACACATATTTCCTTTTAACATCTAAGACAGAAGACAACTCTAAATTTGTCTTTGCCTACATTCACTTAAAATTAAAACAAAACAAAACACCCAGTCTGTAAGAAGCAGTTATTTGGGACCACTAAAAAGTCATCCTCAAACTTTGGTACAAATTGAACATAAAATTATTTCCTATTACTTACGTCATGTTATGTTGGCTAGAAAAAAACGTTACAGGTACTTTTCATTTTAGGCTATGCATATTGCCATATTAATTTGCTTATCTATTTCTTGAGTAATGTCTTAATTAAATATTTAAGTACTTTAGAGGCAGGGAGCATGCTTACCTCACTGGCTACCTAGGCTGAGAAAGCAATCAGAATTTGGGGCACTCTCACTGTCTCCTTGTTGTTTAATAGCCCTACTTAACCTGCTCCTGACAGCTTTTGGTGAAGGTAGACCTTGATGAGAAACACCAGAAAAGTTTATTTTACAGCTGCTCCAGATAACAGAATTTCATCTACTTGCTATCAGCTTACATATTGAAAAGAATGAAGTACCTGATTACAAAGCAATATCCTTAGAACAAATTTATAGTTTTTTTGTTGTTTGTTCTAAAGCTGTATTCTTAAAAAATTCCAAACATAATAGGACCCAGTGCCTCTGGAGGCAAAATGCTCGCGACTTCAGTGACATATGAATGCTCCACAACTCAATATTCATTGAAACAGCTGCCTAACAAAGCCTTGAATTGAGGAATAACTCACATCTAATAATACTCCTACTTCCTTTGATGTGTGTTTTCAATCAGGCGGTCACTCAGCTCAGATTTGCTCTTCAGACTTATTTCAAAATGTTAAATAAATTAGTATTACAGATTATACCCACTATCAGCAGAGGGTATGAAATGTAAAAGGCATGACTAGGAGTAACATGAATTTAACACATGATTTTTTTTTTGAAATGTCATGCAAGTTATAAACCTCTTAACCCAGAGAGAAGATGAAAGCAAGAAAAAAAAAAAAAAAAGGGATGCGCCATATTCAGGTTTCAAAACCCAGTTCTTTGTCATAAATATTCCCCAAACATCTGAAAGAGCAAAAACTCTTTCTTTGTCCAACAACAACAACGAAGCAGAGGGGAGGAAGGCTTTTAAAATGTACCTGTCCCCAATGGTCTGATCCCAAATAGGACAAAACAGAAAAAAAATTTCAAAATATCCTTCATCCGTCTCCATGTTTTGGAAATGTGTCTGGACATCACCCTTCATATTTTAACATACAGTACATTTCACACTGAAAATTTTGATTGCACCTAGTTTATATCAGAAGGAATATATTGTTCATTTAAGTCTCACATTAAATTGCAAGTAAAAAAACAAATAAAAAAAAAAAACAACAAAAAGCCTCAGGAAAATAGTGAGGCTGCTCATTTTGAAAATCTGAAAGGCACAATTGAGCAAGACCCATAGAAAAATTTAAACCCTGTAGAACTTTTTTGCCCATTCAAGCACATTTTCAAGGGATAGCTCTGCTTCCCGGTACATATGAATAAGTACCTCTAGAAGAGCACAGAGAAATGGCACACCAAGGCTCAAGAGTTCATACAAGTAGGTATAGTTATATGCATTGTCCCTGAAATGAACATTGGTAGCGTGCAGAAAACCATGCATCCAGTTAGAGAGGCGTCTGGGAATGTCAAGCAGATCCCTTGTCACCCGAAGGGGCCAGCTTAGAGTGCGCCTAAAGAAGGAAGTCAGGATACCTGGGGACCTGTCCTCTGGACTGCTAGCAGTTGTTAAAGTGCTGTCTGTGGTGCTCTCTGTAGCTCTGAGTTCTTCTTTCTTCCAGGCTTCTGTTGCCTCCTTATAAAAAGCATTAACATTTATTAAATGCAACTTCTAAGATAAGTATAAAGTCCAGTTTCTGTTAGTTTTTAAGTTTTTAGATATATATTCACTACCAACTGTTCTTAAGTTCAACTTCATAGGTGAAGAGCTCTTTTCCACTAAAAACCAGACTACACATACACATACTCTGCTCTAGATAAAGCTGCTTCAATAATTTCTGCATTAATGATATAACCAATACGTACCTTGCACTGGACCTGTAATGTTGCTCTTCTCTTTCGGTGTTTATTACTGATTTTGCAGTGTCTAAAATGAGGTTTACAGTAAAATTTACCTAGAAAAGAAAAAGTAAATTATATGACCTTTTATCTTTACACCTACTGATGAGAACTGTACTATTTTGTGTACAAAAAAAAAATAAAAAATCAAGGTGATTAATGGTCCGGCAGCAAAAGAAATAGGAAATCATCTGCTGGTTCTGCATTGCCCATAGCTTTACAGAATCACAAAATCATTTTAGTTAGAAGGGATCCTTAAAGGCAATCTAGTCCAACTCCGCTACAATAGAAAGGGGCATCTACAGCTTGACCAGATTGCTCAGAGCCCCGTGCATCCTAATCTTGGATGTTTCCCAGTATGGGACATTCATTACCTCTTTGGACAACCTGTTCCAGTGCCTTATCATCCTTATCATAAAAAGCTTCTTCCTTACATTCACTCTAAATCTCCTTCCACTTAATTTAAAGTTTAAAATTTATTTCCCCTTGTCCTGTCACAACAGACTCTGATGAAGAGTCAGTCCCCTTCTTTCTTACAGCCCCCCTTTAGATACTGAAAGCCTGTCAAGGTCTCCCCGGAGCCTTCTCTTCTCCACGCTAAACAGCCCCAGTTCTCCTACAAGGACAGGCTGAGAGGCATTCCACCCTTGGATCATTTTTGTGGCCCTCCTCTGGATGTGCTCTTACAGGTCCATGCTTTTCCTGTAATGAGGACTCCACATCTGGATGCATTACTCCAAGAGAGGCCTCACCAGTGCAAAGCAGAGGGGCAGAATCCCCTCCCTCACCCTGCTGGCTATGCTTCTTTTGATGCAGCACAGAATACAGCTGGCTTTTTGGGCTGCAAGGGTACATTGCTGGCTCATACCCAGCTTCTGATCCACCAGAAACTCCAAGGTACTTTATGCTGGGGCTGTGTTCTATCCTTACATCCTCCAGCTTGTACTGATAGTAGGGAGTTGCCTTGTAGCGGGGTGCTTTGATTGGGTTTCTTTTACAGTATACAGATTTGCACATTCATTAAATAAGGTAAGGCCTTAAATTAATTTAACATACAGGTTTAAGATTAATAAATAGCAGAAAAAACAAGATTCTACAAATACCAAGTGACAAAAAAAAATGCAATATATCAAGCAGCAAAAAGTCAAATATCAGCTAAAAATCTTTGCAGAGGACTCTCTAGACTGCAGAAGATCTATCTTTGGCCTTGAGACTTTAATTCTTATGTAAGAGGAGATCAGGTCAGTACTCAGATATACTCAAATCATTTGGAAATAGCAAGAGAATTTTTATATAGTTTACTAACTTCCATCTGAACAGAAAAAAAAACAAGCAAAGAAAACAACATATAATCCCCTTGCCCCAAGCCTCAGGCTGTAGGTGGCATCAATAGCCCAAGATCTGAACATCCCATTCTACTACTGGCTGCAATAAAGGGCATGCTGCTTGGCCAGTACTACTGCTTTCACCTCATGAGCTAATAACATCTTGAAAGAATACCCCCCAACATATAAATTTACTGCTGCTCTGACTTGTCTTTGCAGATCATTTTATTTAAAGGCTGGTTATCAGTGTCAGATAAGAATAATTCTGTACTGTTGGCAGAGAAAAAAGGCACCTTTCCATTCCCGCCCCATTTCTGACCTGTGATTGGACAAATTGTAGTTTTGTCACTTGCTTTATTTTCCAGTGATGATTTCTTCATTTAAAGATATGTCTGAATTGGCTTCTTTAGAAAGAAGTGAGAGGACTCAAAGATCAACATGGACACAAAGTACATCCTTGGCAGACCTCCTCCTGACTGAGCTACTCTACAAGGTCTTTTTCTCTGGTTCTATTAAAAGCATCAATATTCAGACATATAAATATTCTTAAATAGCTTCCGTATTACCTTCTTCAACATCAAAGGCATAAATTCCTAATCGGAGAGTTGTAGAACATATTTCACACTTGAAGCACTCCCTGTGAAAAAAGTGGCCTTCTGCACTCAGCCGCTCCATAACATATACCCGTTTTTTGCAGAAATAACAAATGTCACTCCCCCCAATAGACTGAGGAAACTCTTTTCGCAGAGATCCCTGTTAAAAGATAAAAACAGAAACACATATGAAGCCTTTACAGGACACCTAGATATAAATTCTCATTGAAGTAAGCCGTCGCTTTAACTGCTTGAAGTTTTATACAGCCCTTTCTTGTGTGTGGAGACACACAATTAAAAAAATGCATCAGTCAGCTTTTTTTATTACTGATAGGCTGCAAGCCTGTAGGTTTAAAAAGCAACTCATAAATCAGACATCATGAAAATCGAAAGGATTGAGCTGCGGCTGGACTCACACCCAGCTTCCCCCCTTCAGCTCATGGGTACTTCACGTTTGCTCAAGTACAAGGGCAGCATCAGGCCCATGCACCCAATGCCCTGTGCTGTGCGGACTCAGGCACTTGCAATCATAGCTGCAGATAGCAGTGTTTCTCAGATGAGGGTGAAGGCAGACCTTGCCAGCTTTGAACAAGAGGCACACATTTGGAGCTACGCAAACCTTGAAGACAAAGTTCATCTCAGTAGTACTGAGGTCATACTCAGCTTGTAGCAGCTCCTACTGCTAAGGAAAATTAGACTTGTGCTTTAAGTTGAAGGAAGAAAAGCCAACAGTTGGACGTGGTGGTTCAAACACCAGTATCAACATCACCCACAAATGCTCTTTCCCTCTCAGCCGCATTTCTGCCTGTGCAGACAGCCCAAGCTGGGGCTTGGTTTGTTTAAAAATCAGTTTCATTCCTACCATGGACATTCAGCATTCTTTAAATTCATTGGATTTTAAAATAAGACTCATGTTAACAACACAGATATTTTGGAACTTTTTGTTGAATTTGGCCAGTTAACTACATTTTTTTCCTAATTGTCACAAACTCTATGTTCTGTATCTACATACAAAGGCACAGAATAATAAATTATAAATAGAACAACGGACATCCCTTCACTTATTAGAGGCAGGCATGAAGAGGTTTCTTTGCTTCACTGTGTTGCTCTTAGTTACAGGTCAGCACACGTGAGCATCCATCCGTGCTCTTCTACAGCTGCTATCATCTCCCCCTCCTCTCCTCACAATGTGAGGGTACCATGCTTGAGATAGAGGAGCTGCAGGCCTGGCAGGGCCCACTCAGGTTCAGACACCAGCATGCAGTCCACACAACTGATCTTTAACTTGCCAGCAGAAGAAGGCCTCAGAACAATTTTTCAGTGTTAAGTTTAAGTCACAATTGTTACAGACATGAATCACACTCTTGAGCTTAACAGCTGAGAATAGTAAATAAAATCTGCTGTTAGTAACCTGTTGTGCTGTGCTGGATCGTTTTGGACTATGAACCACATGAAACCTTCCAGATGAATGACCATGCAAATAGAAAAGAATAGAAATACATTTTTAAAAATAGAGTGTTAACGGAACAGGTCAGATAGTCACAGTGAAGCAGAAGCAATTAGAGTTCAGCACTGGCTAATAAGTCAGCATCAACACCACAGCACCCCAGACTTAGCTTCCCAATACCTGACATCTCTGAGCACTGGAGACAGGATGTGTAGAACAGGGAGTGGGGAAAGAACCTGTAGTTCTGTCCAAAGACTGGTTCTGAATTCAAACAGGATCGTGTCAGAGTTTAAAAATAGCTTTCTTCAAAATGAAGCATGGTGATTCAGCATTTGCATGTTGAAAATAATTGCATAAACATGTACTGTACCAAAATTTTCTTTAGACGCCACCTTGATTAATAACCATTTTCTATTACTAATTGTACCAATAATTACATTTAATAAAAGCCTCCTGAAGTTTTATTTCATGCAGACAAGTAATAAAAGTACAAGTAGAAGACACTGAGCAACGCTTCCAGCATACCCACATTATTAGCGTATACTGCCAACGTGCACTCGATTCCTCAGTAAGCATTAGGCTAATATCTTTCATAACGCCTAAGGTGCACCACAAGTAAGGTGTTAAATCAAGAGGACACTCTGGAAAACACTGCTTTTAAGTAAAGTTGCTGTTTCTTTGCGAGTTTAGTCTTACCAGCTCAAGGGGGGGAATTTGCGACTTGGGTCTGTGATCATTCACATACAGATTGACAAGAACTTCAGCCATAGCTCCAATTGCACGTGAGACCTTTCCTACAGTCATCTAACCAGAAAAGGGGAAAAGATGAAGAATTGAAGGAAGAGCTTTAGTTGCTTGAGAATTTAATGAGAAAAAGATGAGAATGACTTGAAAACATGCAAATGAATGAAAGCGATGATAAAGACAGGCTCTGAGAAAAAGCAGAGACAAAGTACAGCAGAGCACAAGCGTGTTCATGCATGAACAGCACAGTCCAGCTGGTGGCCACAGGAGGCTCCCAGGCAGACCACACACTTCTGTCCCTGTGGATGATGGAGAAATAGCTGCTTGAGCAAATGCTGCTCCTGCAGCACAAGGCCTCCTGCTGGGTCAGCACAAGGCACAGGGCAGCTGAGCTGAACTAGGGAAGGATTGTTGTGATAAATTAAATACAAACAAATGAGAAAAAAACACAACAACACTGCCACTGTGACTTTTTTTTACAATTCAGAAAGGAAGATGGTGACTAAACTTCACCACCTCACACTGACCTCAAAACTGGTATTTCAGGAAACATTCTACGAAAACCTCCTAGAAGTCTTGCACAAATTCCTCTCTGAGCATCGCCTGTGTTTATTTCTCACTCTCTCCAATGACTTTTAGATGTGGCAGATGGGTAGGTAGGTACTCTAGTTCTCTCTTCACGAGGAACAGACTGTGAAGACTTCATAGATTGACAGGAAGGTTTGCTACCCAAATTCACATTGCCACTAAGTGACTTTTGATTTTACCCATAACCTCTCTGGAAACCCAAAGGCTGCAAGAGCCATTCTGATTTGGCCAGGGATCTGATGCTCTTCTTCTGAAGCCAGGATATTTTTCTTCCTAGAAGATGCCTGATCTTGCACTTCATTTTCCACTCGCTTCTTCACTGAGCCCAGACTTTAACTCTCTCGTTCCTCAGTGAAATTATTTTCTACTGACATCATACCATATCCTTGCTAACGGTGGGGTTTAAAAAAGTAAATAATAAAAAAAAATAAAAATCAACAAGTTACTCTGAAGAGAAGGAAAACACAATGGTTTTAAATTTCTATCAGGCTTAAAAGCAACTCCACTGCATTCTGGGTGTCTTTTCAAAAATTATGATGAACAAAAATATTCCTGCTAATAAAAAAAAAAATAAGTGCAGGAACTTGAGAACATGCCCAGCTCCCTACAGTCTCCCTTATCTTTTGAGTGTTGTATCTTAATTTGTCTTAATATCCAGGCAGACATAAAATATGTATGCAAAGACAACAAGGATCATTCAAAAGATCATTCTTTGCCATTTGTTCTTGTTTAGTATAAAAAATACAACAGCATTATTTAATATCTACATGATTTTTTTGAGTAATAGCAACTTTTGGGGTAAAAAAAAAACAACTTTTCAAGTCCGTTGAAACACAGTTTAACTTGAAATAACAAAATGCTGGAGCAACCATTTAAACAATAATGTTATGCTTAAAGCGCAAGTACTTGAATTTCAGGAAGAGCATCCCTCAGCCTGAACTACACCTTGCAATTCATCAGGTGGGTTGATTTCTGTTCTCCACCCTTTGGAGCAATTTGTGCCACTATTAAGGGAGTCAAAACAAGGAAATTACATGTTTATACATACTTTAAAAAGTGTTATTAAAAGAAAACATTTGTGTAGTGAAGTTCATATCCCACGTCAAAACAAATGGGATTTCCATCTGATCTAGCAACCAAAAGACTGCTGACCACTCTTGTCTCATAATCAACCACCACCAACACAAAATTGTGGCTGCTGACCAGGAAGGAGAGCAGGACACAAATAGATTTGAGGACTCCCTTTAGTGAGTCTGGTTAACAAGGACACATTACGGGGAAAAGATCACTATTGGTTCTCCTTACCCAATTAGGAAGGTGGGTAAGTAAGAGGAGATGAATTTGCAACAGCCTCAGTATTGCACCTTTCAAATGTTATTCAAACATGAAATAAAAACAGCAGGATGAGAATCCATAGGGGCAGCCCTGTGAGCACCTGCCATGAGAAGAAACCCACAGCAAAGGAAAGGTCAGGGAGAGTGAGCACAGTGCTGCTCTGTAATTCATCAGTGATAACAGTACAACCACCACCTGTGTCTTCTCTAAACCTCACTCTGGTTAGGAACAGGAACTTTGATGACAATGTCTCCCCTTCATAACACTCACTGCAGAAGAAAGGGTCTGACCTCAAATCTGCATACCAGAAGCATACTCCTTTAGAGAATGTCAGCTCTTACACAGCTTAGCCTTCTTCAACAGCACACTAAGTTACCCCAGAAACTTGGATGCTAATGAACACAATAGGTTCTGTATTTCACTTATGCACTTACTACTCTTGAGAACAAATGATGCGCACGATGCTGCACACAATTTTGTAGTGCTGAGGCCACAGTCAATATAACAAAAGGCTATTGTTCAAAACTCAGGCATGTTATTCCTTCTAGAGCTTTAAATAGTTTGTTGTCCTGGAAAAGAATCTTAAGAGTTATCTTACATGGTGAATTCAGGAAACACTTCAAAATCCTCAAAGTGCAGTGACTTACTAGGAGTGCTGACCTCTCAGTGACAGGTAAAAGTTGATTTGGTAAAAGCTTTGTAGCAGATTGATCAGGCTAGTTGTCAGTGTGAGAAGAGAAGGCTTCCTCCTGTATTTCCCTGTGCTATTATTTACAACACCAGAGCCAACCAACTATTAAACAAGCCTCTTTCATAAAATAAAGGAAATATTGTATGCTCTTGGAAGCAGAAAACGTTTCCCCTTTATTGTTACAAATCCTTAATGATTTTCTTGGGCTTATTTACTCTGAGGTGATTTATTTATTTTTTATTGCATCATCTGCTACATATATTTTACCTCTGAGATAAACAGCATTTGAATAATTAGTTACTCTGTGTAGGAAACACCCAAGCCCTGTTTATAATACTGCTTATAATTAGAGATGTCACTGAAGGGAAGCAGTTGATACAAACTTGGCAGGCAGCAAAGCTTGCTGATTGCAATGTGTTCGTAGTTCCTACGATGTGCTGCCTGGATACACCCACATAAAGCTCACATCAATACAGAGTTCTGAAGGTCAACCCAAATTTTAACAGCAAACAGGAGAAATCAAAGCCCAGTCGGTAACATAATATTGTTAATATTCAACCTAAGAGAAATAACAGCTGGCTAAACCTAGAATGGAGTTTTGATTATTACTGTCAACTTGCACATATTATTACCCAGAAATTGATCCTTAATGAATTCTAATGATTGTATATGTTATGGTCAATGTGTTTAATAGAATCTGGAAGAAGCAGAATGCATCCACTGACTTCCCTTTCAAGTGCTCCTTTCAGGACTAAGGCTTAATAGTATGCTTTTGTAATAAGACAGCAAGTCCGCTGAGACACTATTTTCAACAGATAAACCACTATAGGTAATACTGTACCAATGAAAATTCAGCAGATGTCAAGGATTTTCCTGCCTTAATACTCACTTGAAATTAAAACAACAGTACTATTTAAAGGATGTGGTGGTGCTGATATTCATAGCTCATATCTTATGAAGTGTTAATAAATATTTCAGTATTTTCTGTTCTGCTGGGATCACGTTGATATACAAGAACACATAGCAGTTCCTTCTGTTGGCCTCTCTATCCTGTGACACTTTTTTATACTGAAGTTCAGATTTAACTAACAGTAACTTTTAGAATTTGTATTGCAGTCTGAGTCCTATAAATCCACCCTTAAAGCAGTATGAACACAGCCAATATCCAACAGATATAGTTTATAAAGCTATCAAACATGCTACTTTAAAGGGCAGTTGTGCAACTGAAATATTATAAATTTTTTTTACGTATGGACAGATAATGCTGCACATTTAGACAGCATTTTATAGCATGTAGTACAACTGATGTTCCGAAAAGCGTGCAGTCTAAAAATACAGAGGTATCACAGGATTGAATTAACCTCCCAGTACACAAACAGGATGGAAAAGAAAATCTGAGCATATCCATATGCACTATCACTAACACACTGTCTTGGGCATAAGTACAAAGGGACATTAAATCCATCCTATCTTCAGGGCAGGATTTGCATTACTCATGTAAAGCTAATGTATGCTGGTACAACCTGCTCTCAAAGGTGTCTGTGCTGCAGATCATAGCATATCTCCCCTGGCACTGTGCTCCCCACCATCAAGGGTCCCCTTACCCCCACACCCAAAGCCTGACCCGTTCTGTGACTCCTGATCACGCCTGCAGCAGGCAGAGACACCATCCTCTTACCTGCCTGCAGCCTTGCCCAACACCATGGCTCTTCCACTCCTGTCCATGACCCACGTGTGCTTACTAGCAACCCCAGAAAAAAAAAAGTTTTTTATTTATTTAAAATTACTACCTTTCCCACTGAAATATCTAAGTATTGGGGTTCATTTGAATCTGTCTCAGAGGAGAGGAAAGAGGATGTTAGTCTGCTCATTATCAGGCTACTTAAAGTTCTCAGATATGCTGTGCAGTATATTTGGCTGTATGCAATGCAAAAGGACCTGAGCCTATCCAACTACATGGAGCAGCATATTAGGCATCAGGATGCTCTGGCATGTGCATCTACTGAAGAACATCCTATCTAACCAAGCAACAATTCTGCAAATAAGATCAATGTGTATTTACTGTGCTCACAACAAAACAAGCTTTCCTAGTCTCAGTTGTGCTTTGCCCTCCCATTATCTCTGGACAGAGAATTTTCAGTCACAGTAAACTCACACGAACTGAAATAATGTAACAACAAACTATTGATATGTAATTTAAATACAGCAATAACTAATAAAAGGTTTTGAATGCATTTTAAACAAAATGCTGTTGAATTAAAACATCCAAAACCAATCACTTATGCCAAATGCTTTTTTAGAAGAAAAAGTTTTAAATCCCATCAAGAAACCCTCTTGCTGATGAAGAGTTCCCCACATGATTAAGACCCTAGTTCTCATATGCTAAATGCTAGCTCACATTGGTTTTTTGCTCTCTTCACATTAATGCAGTACTACTCAAAAACCTATGACAAACAGGTCCTGATATTTTGTAAGGCATTTCTTAGCTTAAAATCCACCACATGCTTTATGTCTTAGGTCACAGAAAGGAAGGAGTGAATCTAGGCAAAGCAATGATTTTGAAGCTGAAGGGGATTACAGGATTACAGCAGTTAGTCACCTGCTGGACTTGCAGTGTCCTTGGAGGGCTGTGTATCTTGTATTTTCCAGGGGAATGAGAGAGAAATGGAGCTTTCTGAATGCCCCTCCAGCTAATCCAGGGAACGTACCTTTGCAAACTACATGTCAGCCTAATACCTACCTGCCTGGTTACTACTCCATCTGTGAGCCTTATTTCAAACAGCATCAACAATATAGCAGGAAAACAAACAAGCACAAACAAAATACCCCCAAAATAAAATAAAATAAAATAGACCAATTCCACTAAATTAATCTGCTGAACATCCATCAGAGAGTGTCTGCTCTGAGTCATGGAGGTCATTCCCAGTGCTTTCAGAAAAATCATGTTTTCACTCTTAGTCCCACATCAAGACAATACTCCTAAAATATTCCCATGTAGTACTGCAGTGTTGCAATGTTCCCAGACTGCCACTACAGAACCAGGGTGAAGGAAGGAGAACCTGAGCCTTTTATTGGCCCTAAAAAGCTGAAACATATCCAACTTTCCTCAATTAAAACACTTATGAAAAAGAAGAGTTGGAAGCCAACATCACCTCATCTTCCACAGACAAAAGCACATTTTAAAACTAGCATAAGCAGTAACAGCTGAATATCTCTTATTCACGTTACCAAATTGCTTTCATTAAGTCTGTGCTGGTTTCCCCTGCATGAAGCTTGCATTGTAAAGAACAGAGTTCCAGCAATTAACATGCAGAAGTGAGTTTTAAAGTATAAATAAGTAAACAAGCAAAACAGTGAAGTCTATTGTATCAACACGTGCTTACACAATCCTAACACACATCCTCTATTTAAAATAACCATTACCACCCAGATTCTTCCCTGCAGACCCAACTGATAATCTTATAAAGACAAATACCCACCCAGCACAGCTAACTAATCCCCTAACATCCAGATATACTATGTGAAACTCTCTCTCCATTAAGCGTTTCTGTGGCATTATCTAACAGAGCACTGAAATTAAACATCAATACCAAAAATTCAGAATTTAAGCCAGAACTTTCTCAATTATTTGTTCTATTCTTTAGCTTTATAGCCAAACCATTTGTTGACTTTCCTCTTGCAAACATGCAAAATTCACCATGGTGAAGAAAACTGAGGTTTAATTCTAATGTGAAAATACAAACTATAGAATAGATCCACCGTGCAAAGGCAGCACCTTTCATCCAAGCCATTTCTCAAACAGCCTTACCACAAGTTTGGATTTTACAGGAAAAATCTGTTAATAGAGTACCTGTCTAGAAGGAAGAACAGGGGAAGCTGAACCTACAGATGATGGAGAAGAGGCAGCAGCTGAATCATGAGGTGGAGGGCAAGAGGGAGTTGGGGGCTGAGAATGGGATAAGCCTTTAGTAGGCAGCTTATTCTGTGTAGAGCAGAAACAGAGGAGAGTTATCCAAGAGAGTGACATTAGCACAGGTTAAGAGAATAACTTCACAGTCATGCACAAGAAAAAAAGATTACTACAATTTTGCACCATTCTCTAATTCTGCATAGTGAGGAGCCATTGAAATCGTCGTGACAAAACCTTCATCTCAGATAGTATTATTATACTCAGCTTTCTTATAAAAATAATTGCAATGGGCAATAAGTTAAGAAAGCATTAAAAAAAAATGCTACATGCCAAATTTCACTGACTGAGAGCTACTGCTCACCAACTCATTAGAAACAGTGAGATAATAGTGTATACTTGTAAACACAATGAATAAACCATGCCAAGACATTTCTCTTATGCTATGGTACTCTGACCACCTTTATGATTACAATTGTGTTTTACCTCAATTAAATTATGCAATAATATTTAAACTGAAGGTTTTACCAAATTTAATGGAGTCCAAATGACTTATCTGATTTACTCAAGATGAATGAAAGGTTAAAAGCAAAATCATGGCTTTTTTTTTTCTTTTTTTTTTAAACCCAAGAATTCTAAGATCCCTCTTCTAACTCAGCAATTCTGCAGGTACAAAACCTAATATTCACCTTTGGAAAATCCATGTATCCAAACAGTGAGGCAAGATGTGCTGCTTTCTCTTTAATGTTCTTTTTATGGAATTCTCTATTTGCTATGGTCTGAGCTCTTTTCTGCAGTAAGAGTCAGGAAAGGAAAGCCAGGGAAAGAAAGAGAAAGATTTCAGTTAACAACACAGATATCATCAGAATACAGCAAGTATGCAGAAAGTATTTTAATTCTCTTAATGTAACCTAAAATGAACAGATAAAAAGCAAGCATATCCAGGGAAAATACAGCACGCAGATTAATACATGTGGTTAAGAGAAAGGAAAAGTAATTGCTTATCACCTGTTTCATTTTTTCATCCAGGTGCTGAAGACGTTCAAGCACTCCAGAAAGTACAAATGCAGCAGAACAAGCAGATGCAAGATTTTCAGATGTTTCTGACAGACTGCGCTGGATATCTGTTTTTTCTAGAGCCTTTGGTCTCCTGGCCATATGATCAGAACCATTTAAAGACTGTTTGGTTTCCCTCACCTCATGTTCAGGTCTAGCTACCACCTGAAACTGGGAAACACTTGAAGTGAAAAAAAAAAAAATTTCCCTTCTGCACTACCATGCAGCACACTTGGTTTTTAAAGATGCTTACAAAAGCACAGCACAGTCATGCACAGAATTAGAAATGAAATGCTCTCCTGGGTCTCACAGCAATCTCTCTCCACTATTTATTGCACATCTACTGCTCATGCCCATGCACAGAAACACATCAGTGCTACTTATGAAAGTGCTGGCATCCTCCCCTAAGTTTATCCCAGCTTCTACACCAATAATCCCACACAGCATCAGTGGAGAACATCACAATGTGTCTCCTTCTAGTTTTGCTTTTGTTTTATTCAACATTTTTTTTAGCACTGCATCTGCCTGAAACCAGGGAATGAACTTGTGAAAACACCAGCAGTTGACTTTGGTGTAATGCTAGATCTAACGTGACATGACACAAGATGTAACATTCTTCAGATTTGAAGCATTTTCTGAGGAGCTCAGAATGGGTCTCTGATTTTTAAACTTCATATGAAAGAGCTTTTGAAGTAATTGAAGTCAGTCAGGTCAGCTTTGTCAAATTCAGTCTTAATAACTACTTTCCAGTTGGTCTTTTCATGATAGTTTTCTACTTCATTTCATTTGTCCAATTGAAAGAAATTATACAAACTTTCCAAACTTCTCAGAATCAAAATTAAAAAACGCTAATCCCAATCAGTGTGGTGTGCTCCCAATGTTAACAGAACAGCACATCTGCCTTAAAAATAATCAATTCACAACTTGTTAATGAATGTGCATTTTTTTTCAAGCTGCCATGAAGAATTCCAATGCAATTCAGATCCCACTTTCCTGCAGACTACTCTTGGAAGATCACTACAGAATATTTACTAACATTGAAAATTCTAACATAAAGTGAATTAAACTAAGTATACTAAAAAATTTCACTCCATGTATATGATGCTGCAAAAGAGCTTCTAGCAGTATTTCTCACAACTTCTACTTAAAGAAGTAGAAAATCTGGTCATTAAAATCAGATTTTCAATGCTCAAGTCTTTATCTTAGATATACTGCCAGTTTTCTCAGAGTGGAAACAGCACATCATGTATATACATAGAATTTTTTCAGCTACTGTTGTTCTTTTTTGCATGCTAAATGCATATACGCAGTGATAGTTATACAGAGTGAAATCCAGGTGTACATAAATCATCCAGATATACATAAATCAACACCTACAGGGTGTCCAAGTTCTTTCCATGCAGATACTACCTCTTTCCAAAAGTTTTCTCATCTGGTCAAGCAGGCCTAAAAAAGCACTGAACTTTACAGTAGTTTTCATAAATCTTAGCTAAGTATATATATGAATGAGTCCTCATCAGAAAGAGGAACAGTACGCTTGTCAAATGTTACCCACGTGAGTTCCTACCTGCCTTTTTGGTTGAGACAGAAGACTTGTATCTTTAGGTTGAGCAAAGCGAGGATTAACAGGAGAGTCAGAAGAGAGCTGTGCTGGTCTATCTATTTGCTCCTTGTATAGTTTTTTTTTAATTAATTATAAAGACAGAGTGGGGAAAAAAAAAAGGAAGATAGTAAATAGGATTCCAAGATATTGAGAATAAGAAATAAAAGCTGTTTTTAAACAGATACTACTACAGAGCTTCATCAACAAGTTTTGCAAATTTTCATCCACAACTCATTTTACTAACCTTTAACCTATTAAGCCTCAGTGTCTTTCTTGTAGTGAGGGGCCCAAAACTGAGCACAGTACTGAAGGTGCAGCCTCACCAGAGCTGAGTACAGAGGGATGATCACCTTCCTGCTCCTGCTGGCAGCACTATTTCTGATAAAAGCCATGATGCCATTGGCCTTCTTGGCCACCTGGGCACACTGCTGGCTCATGTTCAGCCAAGTGTCCATCAATACTCCCAGGTCCATTTCCTCTACACAGTCTTCCAGCCACTCTGCCCTAAGTCTATAACGTTAACCTTTGGTAAATGCATCAAGGCTTCCTTGAACATGAACAAGCAAAGTTCTGTACAGGTTTCACAAATTCCAGGGCACTGACATAGCTGGGAAGAATGCAGACAGCAGTGGTTGACTATCAAAGTCACTTGACAACTATGAAGACTGCACTTCTTGCAGACTTAAATATTTAAATTGACAAAGCACAAAATCAAGAAAGCTACCACTCTTGACACCTCTTGGACACCTCGCATATCTTTTCTTCAGACTTTTTTTTTTTTTTTTTCTCCAAAGTATCAGGTTTGAATTCAGCTGATTCAGGAAGCCATCTTGCTGACTTAAGTGTGATTTTGAGATTGCCATCATTACCTTAAAAGCCTGGGATTATTTGCTGGGATTACTGCATTTATGAGAAAAAATTCTGTTGTGATACCATACACAGCCCAAGAGACTCCTATACAAATTAAATTTCTAGATTGCTCTACAGAAGATTTCCAGACTCTGAAATTCCACTACATGATATTAATGTACCCTATAATATAGAGTATAATATCTCCATATTACTTACTCATGTTTATTCCCTAATTACTAGGAGGAATACTCTTTAATATGCATAAAGAATTTAAAACATGAAAGAAAGAAAATACACTTCAAACATCTAATAGATCCACTTCCCTCCTCCCCCAAAAATCTGCATCACACTCACATGGAGGGACTACTGTTTAATTTCAGAGGTGACTCTGATGTTCATCTATGACCTACCTGCCTCCGAAAAATTGTATTTGGAGCATTCTCTTCAAACTTTGCCAACAGTTGAGTTGCCATTGATTTAACTTTATTCTGATTTATTCCTTCTCTGCCATCATTCTGTTCTTTCCCAACACTTGTCTCCTGGCTTGAAAATCCTGAGGCCTACAATAAAAGAACAAATTGTTTTTCTCAAGTATAGCAATAACATTAACAAAGAGAGAAAATAACATTCTAACCAGCAAAGAATCTACAGTATCTTAAAATTGACACTGTTTAGCATGCAAAATTCCATGAGGGCAGTAAATAGGGAACACCAATCAATACTGGTGATCACAAAGCAGTCACAAAGGTTACCAACCTAAGAGAGAGAGCAGCAATCAAGCTACAACACAAACTCTTCAAACACAGACAAACAATGCTTAAGTAACTGAACTGCAAAAAGGAAAAAACCTTATACTTTAATAGTCTAGTGTCAGAAAGAAAATGAACTAGTGTGATTGACCTAAAGCTCTTATTTCTATCAAACAATTTAAATAAATGTAGCTTCTCTTCAGTGCACAGAACAGTGAATTCAAGTTTTCAGGTGACAAGGTTTTTCGTTCCCAGCAAGCATAAGAGTCCAAACCCCATTCTTCTAACTCCCACTGCCTCCTCAGTTCTGGTGCTTTGCAATGAACTGGATAGGTGCTGACACTGCTTAACACCAACCTCATCAAAGACACCAAAAAGACCTTTGCGACGTCTTTTGTTGGTCTCGTTTTCTTCTGTTTTCCCTTCAACCTGAAACAGGAAAGCCAAAACAAAATATCTGGATTAGTACAGAAGTTATGAAATTTAACTAATCCATTCCTCCCACAATACTTGCTTCCATTACCAGGTAAGTATGGTCTGGCCTCTGTTAAATAACATGACCACAGGTGAGCGGTGCCAGCACAGTACTCATAATCACTCTCCTCCAGCTCAGCAGGATCATTCCACACATGACAAGTCCTGTTGACAGTAATCATGTTTATCAGCAGCACAGGAGCCCCTGACTGGGAGCTCTTACTCAAATCTGATGGGGAAAACGCATAAACCTTGTTCAACAAGGGACCTGCAACTCCTTGTTTACGTGCTTCCTTCAGTACTAATGAGCTTGTAATTCATAAAGCGCTAGCACGTTCTTGGAAACAAACAAACAAACAAGGCATTAGAGCATCAGTTAATCTGTGAATTTTAATCTAGATGATGCTGGTTTCCAGATGAACAGTACAACCCCATGGAAATTTTTCCACTACGGATCCCCATCTCCTTCAGTCTAGATTTTCATATGCAGAACATGCATTCATGGTGCAGGTATATCCCTTTCTTTTCACAGAATCATTTGAGTTGAAAGCAACCCTTAAAGATCGTTTAGACCAACTCCCCCGCAATGTAAAGGGAGATGTACAGCTTGATGAGGTTGGTCAGAGCTCCTTCCCAGCCTGACCTTGAATATCTTCAGGGCCAGAACACCCACCACCTCCTCTGGACAACCTGTTCCAGTGCTTCACTACCGTTACTGTAAAAACATTTTTTTCTTACATCCAGTCTAAATCTCCCTTCTTTTAGTTTGAGACCATTTCCCCCTTCTCCTATCACAACAGACTCTGATAAAGAGCCTGTCCCCTTCTTTCTTTTAGCTCCTCTTTAGATACTTGAACGATTGCTATCAGGTCTCCCCAGAGCCTTCTCTTCTCCAGCCTGAGCAATTATTGTCTGCGTCTTTCTGCCTTGTAGGGTTCAGCTTCCCCATTATGGACTTACACAGTAGTATTTAGCAACCAAACTTTGCCTACTTAGCCTAACCAAACTTAGCCTACTTTGTTCTTAAGCTATGCACATACTCAGTTATTTTGCTGGACACAACACAAACAATATTTCATGCCTCAGACTGCCCGAATTTGCAAAATAGTTAATAAATGTTTGCATCATTTTTTATTGAATTCATTCTTAAAGAACTGACAATTTATCTAGTCAGGTTATGGAGAGATTTTGTATTGTAAACATCATGTTTGGCTCTATTTGATGAACAATGATCTATATTCCATTTACTTGTATTTTCCCGCAAGGTAACTCACAGACTGCTCATCCAGTTTGGAGAAAGAAAAAAAGAATAAAGAGATGGATCAAAGAACACAGTCTTCCTTTATATATATGCCGTGTTTATAGCAAGTCATTATGGAGTGAATAAAAATAATCCCAAACAACTTCTGGGCAAACACCAAAAGAATCAAATGACAATATTTTGATTACTCCATATGCTCTGGTTCTTTGTCTTCCAAGCACCAGCTTTCAGTAACGCAGTTTTACAATACTTAGAATCATTAGTCTACCAAGCAAGAGCGAACAACAACATATTCTGCATAATAATCTATACCACATAAAAGTGGAGTTTGCCTAAGTGAATGAAGCAAACAAGATGTTGCCTTTCAGAATCCACATAAAGGACTTTTGTTACAAAGAAGTGAAAAACAAAGCAATTTAATTGCCTAACAAAACTCCAAGAAAGATCATACTCTTCGTTGCATAAACACCTCAATTCATTTCTTAGTCTAGAGTACAGGAAATCTCAAGTTCCATTTGACACAGGAAGAAAAATGGGAAACACTACTCAATCTAGCCCAGTGCTGCCAGGACAACAACAGTCCTGTCAATGCCAGGCACCTCCTGGTCTCTCACCAGTTCTGCCCAGATAAACATCCCCCGTCTAGCCAAATGAAAGGACAAACTGGATGGTACAGAGCTCACAACGAGATATTACAGTGCTCCAGATGGTTTCTGATTTTGTCATACCTAAGTGCTCTTCTCCTGTCATACCTGAATAACGCTCAACACCACTTTTCACAGGCGAAAGAGCCACAGAACTGAAGAGACAGCCAAACTCTAACTCAAGTGGTTACCTTCCAAGAAGTCCTATTTCCCAGCTAGCTAGTTTCCCACTGTCACGTCTTTGCAAATTTCTGTCCCAGTCTGAGCAGTGTATTTCTTGTTAAGCTTCATGCACCATCCATGATGAGGCTGTAAGGCCTCACATAAAGTAAATGCTCCTGACAATCTCACTCCTCAAGCTGATTTGCAAAATATTGCTTCCCCTTCTCTGTTCAAACAAGCCCCTGTGGTGTGAAACTGAAGGGGCCCATCATGCAAATCACCTCATGCTTTCATGTAGTGCCAAGAAATTCACCTCCTGTTAGACAGAAAGCATGTTTTACAACGAGAGGTTAGTCAGAGGGCTGCATGCCTCAGTAATGGAAAGATTTCCCCACTACTACTAGTTACTTCTGCAAATAACTCAGAGAAAAATAATAACATTGTGGTCAGGAAAAAAAAAAGTTTTTCTTCTAAAGATGTAACCCACAAGAAAATGCAATGTTTATTTTGCCTGTTTACTTTCTCAGTGCTTAGTTAGATGGGAAAAATGCCACTATGTTTTGTCTGTATGTGGATGTCAGGGAAAAGATATTTCCTAACAAGGATATATGAGCTTACGGGGCAGCTGACTGTCCACGGGTTTAGAAAATATGTTTGTGAATGGAAAACAGCTGAGACATAAGTAACTCTAGGAAATATCTGGAAATTCTGAAGTAGTTTTTCAGGCAACCAAAAAGAACAAAACAAAAACAACCCACATCTCTACCACAATTAAGGAGGTAAGATAGTAACAAATGCAAAAAGAAACACATTTAAAACATTGATTAAGTTAATAAATATCCACCTGATTTTTTATTAAGGACACCACACTCAAAAGAGTAGAAAAATTGTGTTTCTGCAGGCAAAACTTGGCAAATACTGCATAGGGAATAAAGGAAACAATGAAGTATTAAGGAGGTCTGTAAAAACAAACAAAACAAACAAATTTCTGTCTAGCCTAGGAAACTCAAAACTTGGAACAGTTTTGCTTAAAGCTGTATGTCAGAAAACATAAGTTGAACTCATTCTGGTGGAGAAGCACACACTGCTGTCTAACTAGCACTGGTTAATTTCAGCAAGACACTACTGCCTGGGAGCTAGATTTGGCAGACACTCCCCATTTAAAATGAAGTGACGTTTGGCTGTGAAAGCAAAACCCCTCCTCAAGGTCTTCCTTCAGCAGAAGACCAAATTAATGAATAAGTGGAGGGTGAAACAGAATAATTTCATTACAGCAACTTCTAATTTAGAACTTTTGAACTTATAGTCCATTCAGAAATACAAAGGCAATACTCCCACTGCACACAATCCTATGTCAGACAGTATTAACTCCGCTCTCCATACCTCTTCAAAGCACTGTAGTCTTTAATTGCAACATGTACAGGCATTGACATGTTTCATACAGGGACATAAAATGGGCATGTCAATAAGTTTTCATCAGTAAGTGACACAGAGAGATGTGTCTGAACAGATCACTATCCCAGGGTCATGTTAGTTAAACTGTATGTCTGCTGTTTGCCACCCTTGCAGGCTTTAATATCTAGAGGGATATGAAGGGCTCACATGCAGAACATAGACAGAACCCTCTAACTGCTCAAAAAAGCTTCTAAGACTTCTTACATACCAGTGACTATTTGAACAAATATATAAGATTACGAATATATATTTAAACCTAGGAATATAAAGTTACAATACTATTTTTCTTAAAGGGAGTAATATTCATGCCTAGCAAAATCTCAAACTCCCCCATCAAAAGAAAAGAAAACAAAAACAAAACCACAACAAGAACAAAAGAAAACAGTACAACTACAAAACGTGGCATGTAGCACCATGCCAAACTTCTTAAAAATACCTCTAGGAAACTTTCTAAAAAGAAAGCATAAGAAACATTGCAGGTAATGTAACCAACAACTCCAACATCTTGAGTTGATAACCGCAACTTAGGAACACATCAAATAAAACATCCTCCTTCCCTGCCTTTTATCTGCACTGAAGAAGATTGATATGGAGAATGAACATGAAATCTCCTGAAATACACACAAATTCTCACTAAGATTAGACTATTGGCATTATATATGCTTAACTGGGTTTACTTATGCTTCAGCCATTTCACAGTGACAATGCTTCAGTTTTATCATTACAAACATCATAATGATGTAGCGTTCACGTATGTTAATTTTTGTTGAAATCTTATTTTACTTCCTTAACGTGCACACAAATCTTCGCCCTTATTTATGAGCGTAGGAGTTAATTTTCCACCTTCAAAAGACAAAGATTTATAGAGCAAACCATTCTTCACAGTTTACCTTTGGCACTCGCTTCCTTGGTAAAGTTAAGTTGATGTAATTATTAAAGATGAAGTTTGATGATTTTGCTGAGCAAAGTTCATTACTTTCTCCATTTTGCTTATCCCCAGCATCTGTTTTAAAAAAAAAAAAAAAGACTGAAGTATACTTATTCAATTTAAAAAAAAAAATTGCCAATGCCACTACATTTCAGCTGAATGGTAATAAGAATTATGTATGAGAAACTCAGGCTATAAAAAGCATACAATACAGAGGTAAGTTTTTAACAAACAAAAAAATCAAGGAACAGACATGACATAGGCAGTCACCCTTAACAGAGAATGATTCTTAATGACCTTATACACAAACTTAGTGATTTCAAGCTGCAGTTATCCAACTGCTTATCCAGTTATCCAACCTGCCTACCTGTGCTACCTGGTGTAGGGAACCTGCTTTGGCAGGGGAGTTGGACTCGATGATCTCTGGAGGTCCCTTCCAACCCCTACAATTCTGTGATTCTGTGAACTGCCTCTGTTCTCTGAAACCATCAAGGACTTGCAAAACCTTGGTGTCCCATCATGTTCCTCCCCCTTTCTGTGTCTAAGCACAAGTAATGACTGCAGACATTATTGTGTGCCAGAATGGCTCAATTGGGAAATGGCTGGTGGCTCAGATGCAGTGCTTGTGAGCAGCCTAGGTGAAGTGCTCCCACTTCCCAAACTTGGGAGAACACGCAACAATTCAGCTTACCTACTGTCCTCAGAGGTGTGCCCCTGAACAGCTCATAAAATTTGGAGAGGTACATGACCATGCTGAGCTTGTCAGGCTCCTCAGCTGACCCCACCTCCTTCCCTGTGGTCAAAGGGGGGATTCCAAATTCCCGCTCAGCGACATCAAATGCCAGTTGGTTGTTTTTGACAATGTCCTCTTCGTTCAGTGCATCAAAGTCTCTGTGGGGGAGAACGTACAGACATAAGTACCAGTTTGTTCTCTGTATCCCCTGGAAACACAACAGGTTCCCCTTGTAAATCAGAGAGGTGCAAGACAAGAATGTAAGAACAGGCATGGGCATTTCACCATGTGAATCCGAGCTCTAACCAAAACCACAAGGAGTAATTTAGGTGAGTATTTTAGGAAACAAACATGTTATATGTGTGCATGCACACATGCAGATGCACTGCATTTCTCTTTAAGGTGTTACATGCACAGCTTGAATGAGGAGCTCCTGCACATATCATAACCAGATTTATTAGTGCACTAAATAAGTATATCACCCATTTGGAACTGCATTACCATTCTCTAATACATTTTCTCTAAGACTTATTTTAAGGCTCCAGTACCTTTGAACAACTTCCAAAATCCATTATTAAAATAAATGAGAATAAGTTATAAAGCTCCAGGCAGGGTAGTTTCTTTCTCCTCATAAGGAATGTGAGCTTTTGAACCCAAAAGAATTTCTCTCTTCTCAACACCCATTTCTGGAGCCAGAGAGTGCACACAGCCCTCTGCCCCAGCACTGCCTGCAGCCTGTCCCTCACTGGCCTGCTCAGCTCCTGTCTGGCCATGTGCTTCCTTCAGCAACCGCATTTAACAGGAGGAGCCAAAAAGATCCAAAGAAGTGAACAAACAGCATGACATATGTTAGCTCAGGAATCTTTCAACTTTCTAGAGAGCAGTGCCCAAGAGATACATTTCCCACATACAGCAAGGACGACTTTGCTTTCTACTCTCTCCTTTGGCAACAAAACCATCCATAATCAGCTGCCACACTCATTCTACCCCCTCCTCTTTTTTTTTAATTTTAATTTTTACTTTTTAAGTTTCTATTTATTTATTTAGCAACTAACCTAACAAAAAAAAACTTCCACCACAAAAACCTCACCCCAAACAACCCATCAACCTTTTTCTTAGAATGTGCAGTGATACTTCTTCCTCTGATAAAGGTATACAAGCAAGTGCCCTGGACATCATTCCTATTTTTTTTTTCCCCAAATTATTATACCACATTAAAAAAAAAAACAACTCAATGATTTCTTTCATTTATCTACAATAAAGAGCAGCTGACAGTAATTCACTCACGACTCCTAAGTCTGTGGTGACTAATCTGCATGGAAAGGCAAGAGAAAGAACCCACTGCATTTTGGGGACTTGGGAGAAGGCAGAAGAGTCACCCCAGCATAGATGTCAACAAGCAGGCCTTGTGATCCCCTGCCAGTTATTGCCACTCCTGCTCCAAGTTAAAGACCAGCCCTCTTGTCTCTAACTGAGAAACCTTTTAAAATATTCAAATATAAGAAGTCAAGCCTAGAGTAAGGACCCCAGAAACACAGTAAAAAAGCTGGCATACAATCAATTCCTAGAATAGTTGATTTTCAAGGGCCCACATGCCAGGACACTGGATGAAGAACTGTGCAAGGCTGCCATCTCCCACATCACCTCTGTGGCCTGGGGTTTGCCTAGGCTACTTTGGTAACCACTACAGCAGGCATAAGACAGCTCATTTAAGACTGAACCAAGTATTTTTCTAACTCCTGACAGTACCATTACAACTGTGGTTTTAAATATACCCTAAAAACCTGTCTCCAGGCAGACTTGGGAATACAGCTCTCACATTCTCCAAGCACTGCAATTTTCATTTTAAGTAACTGCGTGAATCCCATGAACATAATCACGAGTCACAAGGTTCAAAATCTTCCTAAATTTTTGAAAGCATATGGTTTCATTTTGCATATGCAAGGACACACAGGGGAAAAAAAAAAAAAAAAGGTAAAACAAAAACAACCCGCTATGGTGCGTACTTCCTTGCAAAAACAAATAGTGAATTGTAGAGTACCAGTATTTTGGCTGCTCTTATGCTATACTTTGGTGAATACTTGATATATCCTATGCCTACAATCTACAGATGTCACTTACATGAGGTCAGGCCTGAAGCGATGGATAATTGCACACAATGCAAGGCCACTTTTCCAAGAGGTAGTCAGGTCTGTGATGTTAACATTACGGTACCCTTCTGTCTGTTTCTGACACCAGGTCAAGAGTTTGTTAGGTCGAATGTCCGACTCTGCAGTTAGCAAAGAGCAAATATTTTGATCATTTTTTGTATGCTCAGAAAGCTTCAATATTTCCACTACAAGCATGAGATACCACATACCATGTCTTGAGAGATTCACTGATCTTCTAATGGAGCTTGCTCTTTCAAGAGAACATTGCTGTAACTCATTGGTAACGTATAATTGTTTCACCTACAAGTTAAATCATTTGTAACACAACGTTAGAATTGCTTGAAAGGCAAAAAACCTTTTTTTCTTTCTAGGTTAACTTTATCAACAACTGGATCTAGACTACAGAGTCTTCTGAAGATTTTATGTACTACTTGTGGCCATACGTGGACAAAAGAAACCCAGCAAAAATAACAAACACCTGTGATTTCCCAAGCGAGTCTTTTGAGTACTGACCTGGTGAGGTCGAACACAGCTTGAGTTCAAGTTTGGGTACCTCGTTCCTGGATCAATGGTATACTGGTCAAAGTTCTTGTTAATATTTTCAGGGGTAGTCTGTGGCAAGAGTCGATAAATACTCTCCCTTACAAAGAAAAGAAAAAAAAAAGATGTAAAATATATTGATTATAATATATCCATTAAATAAAAAAGTTTTTTTTTTTTTTTTTTTTTTTTTTTTTTGTAGTTACCTGCACCTTTATTTTGATTCTGCCTCGACAAATGTTATGCACTAACTGCATAATGCATCCATCCCATTTCTTACCCCCACTCAGCAGGAAAAGGATGCCAGACAGAAAGAAGGTCAACAAAAAGACAGACTCTCAGAACTTATGCCCATATTTTCCTGAGGCAGGAAGAGAGCAAGAAGAACTTAAAAAAAGAAGGTTACATCATACAGTCATCTGGTTTTGCTTTAACCTCCACCCAAGGAGTAACTTCTTTACCACATAACAGCACAAAAACCCGTCATTCTGTGTTCCTATAACCACCACAGCCTTTTTTATTATGCTGTTCAATTTTCCACTGGGGACTATGAAGCGTTTGAGTCATCACACATGCTTCTATCTTAAAAATCCTCAAAGCACTGTAGTTTGTAATGCTCCTACTTGCATTACCACAACCATGACTATTTCTATAGTCTATTTACCCCTAAAAAGCTTGGGTAGCTGCAGGAGAGCAGGGCAGCTGCTGTCAGCACCAAAGTCAGCAACTTCAACCATCAGACCATTGACACACCAGGATTACTGGTGTAGTTAACAACAGGTTTTTGCTCTGATCAAGAAGTCATTACACAGAGAAAGAAGCTTATGATTCAGCATAACAGCAATTCATCTTTGCAGACATTTATCAGACTAAATAGAGAGGGCAGTTGACCTACTAAGCCAAAAAGCAAAGTTAAAAACAGATACTAATAATGAAAGCTGTTGGCTTTAAAGTATTTGTTTATGGTTGTTTCAGCAATGAACATCTTTTTTGCTACTGAAATAAAAAAAAAAAAAACAAAACAAAAAACAAAAAAACCCCACAACAACAAACACAAAACACAGGTGCTGAGGTGCCTGGAGTGTTATTTCTTTTCACAAGATCATAGAATCATAGGATGGTTGGTTTAGGTTGTAAAGGAGCTTCAAGATGACAGAGCTCCAACATCTCTGACACGGGCAGGGCTGCCATCCACTAGATTAGACTTCCCAGGGCTCCATCCAATCTGGCCTTGAACACCTCCAGGACTGAGGCACCCACAACTTCTCTGGGTAACTTGTAGTAGTTAAACTACAGGTTTAAAGATAACATTAGATTTTCTCCACAGATTATACTTAAATCTAGTCATTCATAATTTAAATTAATGATTTAGACCCATGTCAGGCATGCTGCTGGTTCTCTGAATCCCTGTACAGAAGCAACAGAAGTGCCACTGTAAGAATGGATAATTTCAACTGAATGCCACTGCAGGGAAACAAAATTTTTATCCAGATGATGTTTCATCTTCCACTGTCTTCAACCAACACAGCAACACCTTAAAACACACTGAAAATGAGGAAGACAAAAGCAGAGCTCACCGTTCAGCAAGGATTTCTAGTGGGGGTTTTCCTTGAGCCCAGCTCCGCACCATCCAAGCGGTATCAAAAGCAGCTAAGAAGCCTCTTGCACAGCCAGTACCCATTGGCCAGAAAGGCTGTAAGAAACATTTACATTTTAACTCTTTGTATTTCTTCAGATTTTATTACAGAACTTACGGTATGAATTTGGAACATAACTTTTCACACAGTCTTAGAAAAGCAGCCTGAAAAGAGTTAAAATACAGCACAGCCAACTCTTACAGTTTTTAGAGGTTTCTCTAAGACTCAGATAATGAAGAAGACTGCTTTCACTTTTTCTTTTTTCTTTTTTTGGTAACTTGTACATTGAAAAACTGACTTCCTAACTTCAAGAAGTAAGGAAAAAAAAGACTGAGTAGTCAAAAATCAGTCAGGCCTTTTTTTTGTTTGCTTGTTTGAAAGGTGGTGGGGCACGGTATGAGGGGTGGGAATTATGCCTTTTTTTCTTTCATTTGGACTAGTCTTCTCAAACACTTCAGGCTGTCAGTCTGGTTAAAAATAATAATAATAAGACAAATGTGTGTTTTACAGCTAATGGATACTTTTCACTTAAGAAAGAAAACATACTAAAGCAAAGAGACTGCAATAAAATTTGGACTAAGTTTTTCCCTCTGACTGAAATCAGGAGTTATACCATGTACCTAAGCTGAAGACACATAGCTCACAGTTTTCAGACAGAAATACAACACGCATAAAGCAAAACAGAATCCCAGACAGGGACTACCAGCCAAGCATTAGTTATGACATAAACTATGGCATTTAAAAAAAAAAAGAATAAAACATCTATTCCGAGGAAGGTACGTTTGTTTCAGGACATGGAAGAGAATACAAAGACTGTTTGAGAAGGGAGATAAAATGGCTGGATTTAAAAAAGTATTTGGAAAATAAGCCTAGGTGTACCTCAAGTAAACTGTCTCCAACAAGTGCAACCAGGAGCTGATGCCTGTGCCTTTCTCTCACCAGTGCAGCATTCTCAGATGCATACATAGATGTAAAATCAAACATTGCCACATCTGGTTGCCCATAGTGATTAATTGCAAAATCCAAGGAAGGCAGCTGATAGTTGGTTGCAAAGTCAGCAGCTTCTCGAGCGTAGGACAGCAAATTGCTCTGGTTCACATTCTCGCCACAGAGGAGTGACTCAGTATCAATGTAGTCCTGCAAGAGAGAGGGGTGAAGGATTACATACTCCATCTAAACTCTCTGAAGTGGAGCCTTGATGTCTCATAGCATCAGAGCGGAATGTACATCTCCCGGCATAAAGAACCAAGGGAAATTTATCATGATCTCTCAAAAGTACACAAATATAGGTTTCTTCTGCTACCGCAAACAGGAACACTGTGCCAATAGTGAAAAGCAGCTTTATTTGCAATAAAATATTATGGAGCCTCCCAGCTCCTTAGCTATATGTTTTCTTCATAACTTCCATTCTATCAAAAGATGTGATCATCGTCACTCCAACTCTTTTTCCTTTGAGTGCACTCTACATAAAAAAACAAATTGGAGCAGAAATAACTACGAAACAATGATGTTAATATGCTATTCTCAACCTGAAGATTTGGCTTAACGGCTCAGTTAAGTCCACACAGTCAAACTCGGACCACAGAAATTTTTCTTTTTTGTCTTGGGTTGATTTTGGGTTGATTTTTTTTTTTTTTTTTTTTTGTGTGTGTGTCTGTTTTTCCAGTCAGTGTGGTAAAGGACATTCCCTTTACAGGTCACTCTATTTAAAGCCAAAGATTATTAATAAGGCAGTTTCTATTTACAGCTTAATCACGGATGAGACCCCTAATCACAAGGATGATGCCACAGAATGGCTATGAGCCTAGTTGTCTTTCAGCAGATTGTTCTCTTTACTCAGATATGAGAGACTCAGGAAAATGACAGCCAGGCCACAGCTCCTCTTCCTTAAATGCTCCATCCCACCCATCTGAAGACATCAGCCTCTTAGCTCCAGGGGCCACCCACCACTGTCCCGTCACCTCTGAGGCAATCACTGTGGTTGCATCCTCCAAAAAGTCTGGAAATTGTAGCATTGAGTTAAGTGGTCCCATCAGAAAGAAGTCTTCCAACAGTTCCCTACAGGCACTTCCTATGGGAATTTATAATTGACTGTTTTGGCATCGTCTTACTTCACAAGAAAAGTTGCCTACTACTGCATTTCCAGGAAGAGAAATTTAAATAGTGCCTTAAGTAGTGCCAAAACACTTTCTAGAAACAAAGGAAAACAACCTCTTTCTTTTAGAGAAGAAAAAAAATAAATAAAAGGAAAAAGAAAAAAAACACTGTTTTTCAAAAGGCCCCAGAAATTTCCAGGTATTTTTGAAAGCTCATGCCCTCACGTTTACACACTTGTTCTAGCAGGTTTTATTAACTTTGGAGAATTTGCAACTTAATCTGGGGTAGATTATAACACTTCCTCATTTGTCTGATGAAGCTGGACATAGTTGTGCAAGATTAACCTTAAACAAGGTTCTTATTTTTGGGGTGGTGACAACACCACACATTTCTATGCTGAATGAAAATCTCATTTTTGCCAGTCTCACAAGTGAGAAATTTAGCAAGTATAATTTTTACCTCTCTATAGAAACTTTGTGCTAATAGGAAAAACAACAACAACAACAGTCAACAGCGTAAAGCCTAAGTGATCTGAGCTCTAATCAGGTGACCTAATAAGTCTATAAACACCTTCCATAATATGGAATAACATTTATGCAGATGTTCACAGTTATGTGCCAAGTAAATGAAGTAAAGCTTTACCCAGAATTTATACATACATTTATAATCACTCCTTTGTCCAGAAGACTCTGTTTTTTTGCCGTCATCACAAAATAATGTGTGCTATCTTTGTAGTAAACAATATTCTCCAGGTCAATTCCTGAAAGAGAATGAATTTGTTATAACGCACAAGGCATTTTCTGTCATTTACTAATAACGCTATAGTGAGACCTACTAGATCTTCTTGTTCCACTTTCCCAAAGAGTGACCCAATGAATTTGTCTCAACATAATTTAAAGATATTTGGCATTCTACTAAGGAAAAGCCAGTTAATTACAACCTTATTAATAGGATGTTTGATAGGACAAAGGGGAACAGTTTTAGACTAAAAGGGAGGAGATTCAGATTAGAGGTCAGGGGAAGTTTTTCACTGAGGGAGTGATGATGTGCTGGAACAGTTTACTCAGAGTGGTTGTGCATGCTCTGTTCCTGGAGGTGTTCAAGGCCAGGTTGGATGGGGCTCTGGGTAGCCTGATCTAGTGTCTGATTCAGTGGTTGGCCACCCTGCCCAAAGCAGAGGGTTTGGAACCAGGTAATTTTTGAGGTCTCTTCCAACTCAAGCCACTCTATGATTCTATGATGAATCTTCCGGGGATGAGAAAGAGAAATAAAAGGAACAACATGCTTTTTAGGTTGGTAGACTTCTGCCTTTGGGTCTAACTAGAAGTTTTGATGTTGTTACAGTAGCAATATCAATAATAAATTAGCTGTAAGAATGGAATTGTTTATACTTCCAGGGGATGCAACTATTCTGAAACCTCTTTTCATACAGATGTATTTCACTGTTTATATTCAAATATTTATGGCACTTTATCAGATCTGCACATCGAAAAGAAAAAGAAACCTCTCCTAGAAGGGCAATACCTTTTTCACAGGGTTCACTCAGTATGTGAACAGACACACACAAACAAAACAAACCACGCCTTCAGGGAAATCTTTGGGCACTGAAAAAGCTCTGCTCAAGTTGATTGGACATGGCTTTTTTTTTTTAAACAGTTGAGAAAAATTTAAACACCAAAACAAACAACAGTGTGGCAACACCTAAGCTAAGAAGAAAATCCCACCACATCGTAAATATACATAACTTCCCTTGGCAAGATTATGACATCATCAGCACTTTATCATTTGTTTTTTTTTTTTTAATGAAATGTATTCAAATTGATGCTAATAGAAATATTCCCCACCTGTTTCCTCTTTAAGGTCTTGGAAGAACTTCTGATTGAAGATGAAAGCAACACCACTAATTTCTTCTACTTTGGCTTCTGCAGTAGTATTTCTGTTTATAAAATTGGCAGTGATAGCTATAGCTAGCTTTCCACGGAACTCCTTTCTCCTAAAACCTAGTAAGCAAAGAAAATAAATAAAAACACTGAAAACTTGACATAAGAATATGAAGGAGGATCAGCTGAAGAATACTTGGTCTAATCCAGTATTTCATCAAACACCACAATCAGCACATTTCATCTTAAACTCCCTTGAATGCAAAGTTTTTTCCCCCCAGTCCCAGCTGCAAAAGTGGAACTGTACTGTATTCAAGATAAAGTCTCATTTTAAAAACAAACTAAGACAAAACAACCTACTGAAGTCTGAAGCGGAGGTAGGGGAAGAAGTTGAACATAAGAAGTTAAAGAAAAGTGGGGAATGAAGATAAACTGGAAACGGTGCAGATAAACTTAATCGAGGGAAACATTTTTAACCTGCTGAATAACAAATGTGATTGATGTTAGATGGGCAGTAATCAGTTTTGAAAAAACATGCAAAAATCATTAGTCAAAAGCAGCATCTGAGAAAACAGAAACCTCTATAACAGGGCTTAGCTGCACACACTAAAAACTAATGCAATTTTTCAAAGATTTTAGGGGTTGAAAAATATTCAGTAACTTATTTCCAATATGAGCAGTTCAACAAGCAAAGTTACTTGCATTCTTACTTCATCCTAGTTTCACAAAAACACCTGCTTAGCACCCATCTTGCAATTACGCATTCAGTTTCTATTTGTGTATTCCCTTTATACATAAGGAAATTGTGAAGTAGGACAGATTCTGTATTTTTCACTAATTGCACGTGACTTGACAGAGAATACATGCACTTCTATTAAGAAATCAGTCAGCTATGATTTTTTCTCACTGTGCATCTTGATACATTCTCAAAATTTCATTGGAATAAGTTAACATGGAAATACCAGCTTCTGCATGTAAATAATCTTCAGTGCATGAAATATTCCCTCAGATTCTGTAACAATTATAACTACCAGCTTCTCAGTTGAGTCTGCAGCTGAGGTACGAGTAATTTTATTTTGCTGACACCTGACTACTTAAATAATCCTTCATAGGGGATAGACAGCAGAAAAGCGTGGAGATTTTTCTAATAAAAGATATCATAAGGAGTTAATTCTTAGCATATTGCATTTGACAGACATAAGAAAAGAACTCAGATCTATTACAAAGCTAACAAAAAAGGGGAAATGGAGTATTTACTGAACTTAAATTAACATGGACATAATTAAAGCTACAAGGAAGGCATATAATTAGGTAACAAGCTTGTTGTCTGTGTGATACAGCAGCAGCTTAAGTAGTGTCTCACTAACAAAGAGCTCAGGCAGTCTACATTCTCAGCACTGACTCAAGACCATTAAGCGCATCCCCCTCCTTTCAATAATTTATTATCTCTTCAAACTGTTTCCAAAGTAACTGTCTGAAATTAAATCATCTTTACACAGGACTTACACCTCTGATGCCTTCATTAAATACCTGTCAGTCACCTTTTGGTCATTAGCTCAAGCATATAGGCAAGCCTACGGCACAATAGCAAAGACAATGCAATTCCTGACATGCATCTTGTCAGTGCTCTAAGTTAAATAACCATGCGATTACCTAACACTGAAGGTAGCCCAATGGAACCACGCTATATTCTGGAGGCAAAGCAGATACAGACAGTGCTGAGAATCAGTCACAACATTTAAGTATCTTTACTTTGAGCCACAACTTAACAACAAAAGTAGAACATAGCACATAAAAAAACAACTCGTTTTCTCAGACATCAGTGGATTTAAAGGCAGCACGTTCCTTTTTGTTCTCTGACTTCCAGGTCTTGCAATATATCCTAACAGAAAAAAACAGCATGGCTAAAAGCAGACATTCACCTACCTTCTAATGTGTTTCTGCGGCCATCTGCACCAACAATAACATCAAATTCATACTCTGACAAAGGGTGATCCACCGGGAGAAACTCAGCCCTCCAACCTATCTCTAAAATCACAAAGAATAATATTTGTTCAGAAATACAGCAGGGTTTTCAGTCTGAAGAAAAAGTATCAGGATAAGTGGTCTATTTCTCATTCAAATGCATTTGCATTCTGCCTCAGATCAATGCAGGGAAAAAACTGCGTTAAGCAATGTGTCAAGCTCATAAGCTGTCAACATAAAAAGGATGCCTTTACTTGGATCTCCTGAAGCACAAAACCTCCTCAAAGGCCCATATCACAAGTACATGCTCACAAAAATAGTCTCACAACTACTTTATTAAGGGAGCACATATACATATTAACAGGAAAAGATGGGTTTTAAAAGAAGATAGCCTCCTCACATCAGTATTAATTCTCTCTCCTAAATGGCAATTTAACAGAAGTATAGTAATGAAGCTGAATTTCATATTTGCATTAAGTTAAAACTGTTTGACTAAAAGTGTTAGTATTGCCAACATTTAAGAGATATATAATAGGTTTCAAGTACTTTTAACAATTTATTTGTTCTAGTATTGGCACATGAACATTTACAGAGGAATAGCACAGTATTCTAATGAAGTAAAATTCAAAAATATTCCATTGCTACTACTCCTTAAATACTAATATATTGAGAGATTTTTTCTTTATTTCTTGCATAAAAATCTTGCATAAGATGACTGATAAGACCTTAAGCAAGTGGGAGTTGTATCAAATGTGAAATGAGGCCCAGAGTGCTTCATCCATTCTCCATATTTGTATTATCAATCAAAAATTGTTTTCGCAAGAAGATACCAGAAAGCCACAGCAGACTCCCTGCAAAGCCTCAAATGCATGCCAGAAGACACAGTGCAAAACCTCAACTCTTAAAGCTGGACCATATTTTAAGAATTATCAGAGCACTGTCACAACAATACTTACTATGCCTACAGTTGCAGACAGCAAACCTGGCTAAAAAAAGAAGGGCAAAAGATTCCAATTCCTTTAAGCAGAACTCAACTACCTTGACAGACTTCTCTTAAGACCTGACATGAAGTTACTCTGTAAAGAATCACATTATGATAAACCATACTTCGATTTTCCTGATCTTCAGGGGGTTCCAGGACTTTCACAAATTCTAGATTCACGTGGATTTCAACTCCTAGCATAAGTGCAACTTTGAAGAGGATAAGTTGAAGTTGTCGAATACCTGTAAGTAGCAAGAAGCAAAGATGTATTCAATGCATAAGCAAGTACAGGTTCTGCCAGCATGCCACCCAGCTGATATCCCTTGTTAACAAAAACATATAGCACTATTATTTCCCATACTGTGGCAAATTCAAATGTAGCAACCACCATAGGACACTGTTCTCTTATTTCTCATTTTCCAATCAGACAGGTTATAAAAATGATTTCCGTGATTTTCTTAAAAAAAAAAAAAAAAAAAAATTAAAAATTAAAGCTTGCCTTTTTAACAATATTTAGAGTACTTATATACTCAATATGCTAACCACCTGAAGAAAAAAAAATTACAGCACAAAAATATTTCCCTGTGAAATACCACACTTACACCTATCTTCTCATTAAGAGCTGCATCTACCTTTAGCATACTAGAATGAACATCAAGATTCTACATACAGCTGTAATATAAACCTATTGTTTTAAGAAGTCCAGACTAAACAAACTGCTCCATAATGTCATTTGTCCAGCTGCCATTTTGCTTCAATGAAATCTTTTATTCTCTCTCCTTAACATGCATATACTTTTATGGCAGATAAGCTCTCTGTCGTACAGAGAAAGTCTCCATTAATCTGATCTCCACATCTCTTTTATTGGAACACAGTCCATATCCTTAGGTACTTACTGATGTGATCAATGGATCCTGCACAGAATTTCCCATAAAATTTCTTTGCTCCTAGTCCCCGGAGGTCATGGATTGTAAACGGCCAGAGATGCAACACATTGTTTCTTGAAAAAGTGTCCCGCTTCTCCACGACGACAACTTTGGCTCCCAGGAAGGCAAGTTCTATGGCAGTCCGCAAGCCACATGGGCCACCTCCAATAATTAAACACTACCAGAGAAAAGAGGAAGTTTTACGCAGGATTTGGTACTGATTTCTAAGTAATCTCTAATTTATTCTATTGTTATGACTTCATATTTGGTCAGATTTGTGCTATCAAGAATGTCTTCAAGTTGACTGTATAAATCAATGAACAGAAATTTTGTTTGCATGGGGCATTTAGACAGTTTACAAAGGAGGATGAATTTCTTCATGCAGACGTAAGAACATCTGACAAAAAGAAGGAACTACGGAAAGCCAAACACCTCTTAGAATCTGCTTGAATATCTCAGTTACATAGAATCATAGAATCTCAAGGTTGGAAACGACCTATAAGATCATCTAGACCAACCATCTCATCACCACTGCCACCACTAGTACTAAACCATATCACACAGCACGTCATCCAGATGCCTCTTGAACACTGCCAGGGACGGCGACTCCACCACCTCCCTGGGCAGGGAGCATTTCAGAATTGTTTGCAGTAAAAAGTATTACACCTACATAAAATGGAACAGAAATAAGTAGTCTAGATATAGGCTTTATTTATTTAGTAAGAGGGAATTGGCGCACATTTGCTGGAGCTGCTAGTTAAACTAGCAGTCTTTGTTATTATAACTGTATTTGTTACCCTCCTCCAAATGAGGAAATATCCTGAATAGAAGAGCCTGGCTCAACTGCTGCTGTAAGGCAGGGGCACGTCAAGGGAAGTCAGTAGGCTTGTCCTGCTTCACCAGAGGTGGGGAACATGGCAAGCCTATTCCATTTCATGGAGCGGCCAACATCCTTACCATTAAGACAATCACTTCTTAGGGGCTTTAATCTGAATGTGAGCATTCTTAGAAGAAAAAAATGCAACTATTAAAGAGAATTCTCACCTAAATTTTAGCTGACAGCTGTGAGTTTTCACAGATTAACAGGCAAACCATTTCCAGAAAACTACTAATTAAAATCCAAATATAGCTGATGTTTACATTTTCCTGCTTGATTACTAAAAGCTGCCTAGAAACAGTCTTGGAAGCTCAACAACATTCACATTCCCTCACTAAAGGGCAAGAAGCAAAAAAAAAAAACCTCCCCAAACCATGAAGACCTCACAAAACCTACACCATCAGTTCAAGCAATGGGCTTGGGATACGGAGGGACAAAGTGGAGCTGAGGGGTGAGCTCTGGATCCAAGGCTGAGCTGTGCTGCAGAGCAAATCCAAAACCATTATCTCACAATGCAGACATGGTTCCTGTTTGTCCCACATACATAGCCAGACAGTGATTACAGTTTCAAAGCAAGCACGGGCTGTATCTGGAGGCTCAATGGATAGGAGTCTGGTTCCCATTACAGTTCTCTTTCATAAAATGGGGTCATTTATTTGTTTTGGTTTGTTCACTAGTTCTCAGGTTTTAACATCTTAAAAATTATCTGGCATTGACTTTTGTCCATGACTTTTGTCCAAGCAAATTACGTAAGTATAAAAATGTCTTTTTTTTTTCTTTTTTAAAAGTCAATAACGTAAAGAACTCACATTCACACAGAAATATAAGGTGTTTTTGCAGTGATTTAAGCAAGTATTTTGTTAACTAGTTATTAAGTGAGTTAAGTCAGGTTGTTGTACTTCCATGCCCATACCTGATTTATAATATAAGAACATTCCTCACTGCATGGTAAGTAGTAAGAAAACATCAACAGGTACAATTATATAAAGGGGAAGAATACTGTGCAGAAGATACCCCAACTTCAGAAGAGGATTGCTGAGAGAGTCCAGGTCAGCTCCTTTCTGTTCATTCTTATGATTAACACAAATACTCCGAGTTCTGACAAGCAAGTGACTGCCTTCACAGCTACACAGACTCCTAGCAGTGCTTGCTTAGCAAGCAGTTACAAACATTTCACAAGACAATACCATACATGGTTTGATAAGGACTTTTATTCTTCCCCCTTTGGAGGGTGGGGAGACCGTTGGTTTTTTTTTTTTTTTTTTTTTCCTAACAAACTGTATTATATATGTCAGCTGTATATATTTATTATAAATAAATGCAACTTGAAACAGCCTCCCCCAAAAAAACAAAAAAAAAAACAAACAAAAAAAAAAAAACCAAAACAGTCTTTTGAGATTTAAACACAGTGGATCTTGCCAAACAATAAAACTCACACAGAAGACATCGTTAGTTGGTATGTTAAAACTTAAGCAGGATTTTACCCTCTCCCTTCCTCCTATCAACTCTGATGAATTATCTCACTAATTGCCTGGAGACCCTTTGAAAAATGGTTTTGTATTTGCCATCCATCCATAGTTACCTTCAATAAACATATCTGTCTCAAAACTATTTCTCCTTTGATTTATTAAGGATACTTTCTGCTGACATAGATCTTACATTTGGCACTTCATCTTCTTTCTTAAAACTTCTGGGATCAGCATAAAACTCTTGCAAAGGTAATGCCTACTGCACTTGTGCTGCTACCTTTATTGCATAGGAAAAGGGACCATACCACTCACCTGTCACAGTCCTTCTTTCCCAGCTCTCCACTTGCAAATTAAGTCACAGAGCAGAGAAACCTTCCTATAATCAGCCTAGAGGGAGCCTTGAGTAACTTATTTTCAGCAGCTGTTACCACAGACTTCTGGTTCACTGGGGGCTGCTCTTGAAATTACTTTGTTGCAATTTACTTTACAAATGAGCAGGTGCCTATTTTATAAAACTTGATTCAAGTCTCTGAGTACGTAATGAGTTTCTATGGCACCGTTAAAAAGCACTGTATTTATCTCTCAAATATAATGATCTGCTTCTGTTGTCCCATACCAGAACCAAAACTCTACTTACAGCAATAACTTCACAGATTGTTTTCCAGGTTCAATTAAGAAGCCATCAGGAAGTTTCACATATGATACAAGTACACGCAGTATTTGCTAAGTCTCAAGTTTGATTCTCCTCAAAGGAAGTAAATCTGACAACTGGAGATGGTGCCTGCTCTCTGTTAGTATGTTTAGGAGTGACAGTACCTGAAAAACCTCTGACAAATGCTTGTACACTGCAAAAGGGCATGTAGTGATTGATGACCAAAATGACAGCACAAGATACCCCTCCAAAAGTGGGGTGTGCCTGACACAGTTTTTCAGTATGATCTCCTGCAAATAATACACAGATTTATCACTTTGGAAATGGAAGTGGAGGAAAAGGAAAGAGGAAGAAAGAGCAGGAACCTTTCACAACCCTTCCCACTCCTCACTATTAAATTCTCAGCCTGTGAATCCCTTCACCTATAGCCCGTTCTGGAAAAACCACATGAAGCTTAACAGCTGAGAATTTGCAGAATGCCTCCATTGGTTTTCACACAGTAAAGTGAGCTTAAAGAAATAACGGATTTTGAAAGAAAGGAAGGAAAGGAAGAATGTTAGCACTACGTTAAAAGCAAACAAACAAAAAGACCCACAAAACAAGAAAAGCTTCAGAACAACCTATCCAGTCACAAAAATCTCACTGACTTCAATAAATGTAAAGGCAGAGTCAAAACAAAAAAAAGAAAAAAAGAAAAACGTAACTGTAACATTTAGTATTGACATGCTCACACTTAAGGAATGCAGCAGTTGGTAGCAGTATGCGAACGCTGAACACAACCAAACAGCATTTCTTTGCACTGTTGCAGATAGAATCCACTGCAGCTCAGTGTGTTCACATTCATACTGCCCAACTCTAAACCACTCTGGCCTCTCCTGTCTGAGGTACTCAGCCATTCAATTAGTTCCAGGAAACAGAATTGTTTCATGACACACCACCTCTCCCAAATATCTTCCTAATACGAGGAAGAAAGTTATAATCACAGCAGAAATTCAGAACTTTCTCATTTCTACCTTTTCAGCTGCTAAGAATGGAGGAAATAAATTTTGGACAGGAGCTTAACCGCAACTGGATTGACACAGAGAGATCTTGTGTTTCATAGCACACCAGCTAGAAGCACCACTCCCACTCTTCAGTGGAAATCTACATGCATACCAGTGAAAACTAGTGAGAGATATCCAACCTAGATGATCTAACCTCCTCTAACTGGTACATGGTGTTCACCCAAATCACTACTTGGGACGCATGGGAATGGCTCTTGCCACAGGAAACAGGCACAAAAGGAGGCCTTCACCACACATCTGGAAGCCACTGGCTGGTGCTACAGGTGCTCCTGGCAGCCACGGGACCCCCTGCAGTGCCAGAAGCCCCACAGCCAAAGGGCCTGCAGGCTGCACAGCTATGCTGTCATCCCATGGCAAATCTGCTCCATCATTTGCACTGGGCTGCAGGTGCATTCAGCTCTGCAGATAGCGCATCCAGGACATTCCAGTGCCTCAGACTTCAGGATGAAATGCTGGAGGGGGCAGGGATGCATCAAGAATTAATTTTACTGACACCGCAGGATTACATCCTACATGGATTCGAGCAAGTGTTTATTCATGATAGAGCTAAATGTGATGCAACATAAGATAGCCATGAAATTTAATGGAACAACACATTTCCTGGATCAGCAATGACTTTCTCTGGAAAGGCTCCAAAGGAAAGCAGCTGCAGAAGCATCTAAGGCAGACAGCTACCAGAAGTGCAGCAGGAAGCTCTCTCCACCGCAGCGCTTTTCATTTCATCCCCTTCAATACATAGAAGAATGCTTTTGGCAGGAACAGGGCTGCTCAGTCAGACATTCCTGACTTACTGACTTAAAAGTTCATCTCACATTTGTAGCCTCAGATTTTATCACATAAATTCAGTGACAGTCACTGAATACTGACGTGTAAATGTACCCTGAATGTACTGAATAGCCAATATATAATTTTTTTGTTTGCTTGAAACATTATAATTCAAGTCACTTCAAAGTTTATATGCTGTTTCAGACAACATTAAGATTTTAAGAGCTAAAACTTTACTAAAAACAATCAGCAGGCTAAGTTCAAATAGGTATAATGTGCATAGGCACAGTGTGTTTTGCCAGCCTAATGCATTGAGTCTGGTCTTGCTGCAGCCCTTGTCTATCAAAGCAT